GCCGCGAGGTGCACGAGGCTCATCCCAGTTCGGCGGTCCAAGATATGTGTATCAGCCCCATGCTTCAAAAGCAATGCCACTTTGGACTCCTGGTTTGAACGGACAGCCTCCCTTAATGGAGCATGTTTGTCAAACGCAACGGAATTGGCTATGGCGCCGTGATCTAGGAGCAACTTGGTGATCGCCACGTCGCTACGACCATTTGTCGCCAAAACCAAGGGTCGTCTAGATCGGGCATCGGCCACATCTGGCAAAGCCCCATTCTCTAGAAGGGCTTGTACGACATTGGTATGCTTGGTAGAAACCGCTTCCAGAAGAGCTGTCGACTGTGCGCGAGTTGGTGATCGGATGTTAACATCCGCACCCGCACGAAGCATATTCCGGACTCCAAGTTCGTCCCCACGACTTGCGTACCATAAAAGGGCCGATCCACCGTCCAAGCGTATATTATGTTGGTAGAGCTCATTGATCAAGAGATGGTAGAGCTTTTGACTCGTTCGGAGGAAGCCGAGAAGGTCTTTTGGCGAATCCAAATTGCTTGAAATGAGCAAAATAATTTCCGGTGGGAGAGAGAGAAGAGACATCGCGAGATGCTTGGATAGATGGCTGACCTGTCACTCAATAGAATGAATGAAGGGATTTCTCCAATTTGCTTGGGCTAAACGGACCAAAAGCTGTTGGTCGTTATGTATCAGGCGATAGACAACCTGAAGCAGAATAAAAGGGACTTGAGTATTTAGTCGACCATGTTATATATGTAATAAGGGTCGCAGCATCTGGTCCAGCTAGGTGGTGTTGAGCTGTTGAGGTGTTGAAAAGGTGGCTGTAATAATCATTATCCAAATTGAACGCTTCTAATAATCCTATCCATCAAAGCCAAGACTCGATGTTTTATGATACCTTAATGTCATGAAGCCTGGTCTTGCTTTCTTATACAATGCCGAGGTACAATCGAATTTTTCTGGATGTCTTTGAGTATTTGCAGGCAAAGTGGCACCTTTCCCGAATAGCGAGGCTACCCGAAGACAAAGAATAATGGTTCTCTTAACTGATATGATGACCTTTGATGTGAGTGCTGGCCGTCTTAGGTGATGGCGTTGAGCTGTTAATAAGGTCAACGTTGATCACCGGCAGATTTGGGCTGTGTTCGAACTTCTGACATATAGACAGCGAGTGAAGAAGTCAAGAACTGCTTTGGCTGCTTTAGATCCGGGCTTCTTCTTTCTGTTGGGCTGGTCGGAGACTGTATTTAATTGCGGCAACAGAAAGTCCCACCTTCTCGTTAATGAAGGTTGAAGTGCTTCAACGAAAGCTCAAGTACTGTTTGGGAGATTTTGAGGCCGACAGTCACTATCAATTGTACCCTTACTCGGCTTCTTTTTCAGAGCACCACTTGGATCAACTATTGCCATGCTATAGCACCGCACTTTATGAGTGAGATTTCTTTCCTGTGCTTGCTTGCAGCCAACTCATGTTGCGATCAACGGGATTTACGCTACCTGGCGGCACAGATACGATGAAATAACCCCATATCCCAGATTATGATTGTCTTTCTTAGGCAGAAAGTAGATTAAAGTGTGCAACTTTGCTGCGAAGCCAACGATAGCAACCCTGGCCCAGTTCTCAGGACAACCATGTGAACAAGTTGAGCTACCAAAGGGAAGGTAGGATCTGGTTCCTCGTCGATCGCCACCCACCTCGCGAGACTGCAACGCTACTACCACATTCTGCTGGTACCCCGGTCGCACGCAGACAATGATTCCATGGATCCCGTAATTAATAACCCTTAAATTCACTCAGGCACACGGCAATTTGTTTGTAAAACTCAATCCGATTAATATTCCAGTTGCTCTCCCACCAAGGAGACCAATCGTCTTCTCAATTTTTCCAGGATGGCACGCCCAAGGCGTCAAAGTCGGCACCAGCGACAAGGAACGTTCCATGTACAGGTGCCAAAACTGCCGGAAGACCAAGATTTGACAGCCAAGGATGTTCCGCGCCGCTGCCAATCGTGTGAAGTGCGATCGCATCCAAGTGCCTCCATGCAGTGGAATCAGAATGATACAGCGGCCAACAAACAAGGCCAGCCTGAGACTAGCACTGTCTCTTTCACAGTAAGTCGGTATGTGGCCGGAGGCACTTCGACCAGATCTTCTTGGCTATCTCATCCTGTGAGTAAGCGGTAAGAACTCACGACAAGTCTTCCCAATTTGGAAGTTGTTACTAACGCACTGCTCTCAGATTGGTAAAACAATGGATTGAACGTTACCGAGGGAAGATCGATATCATCTTCAGTAAGTTCAAGCTGCAAATTAAGGAGCGCGCCGACTAATCTACGGGCTCGAACAACAGTCCTACAAGGTCTATACTCACTTCTCGGAGTTCCAATGACAAGCATCCCTTTCCGCGCACAAAATCTTATTCTCCAAGCCATACAGCGACATCTTGAATTCGATGCATTTCAATTCGTTCACAAATGGCTTTTAGAGGAGTCTCTTATGGTTGGGTGGACATGCCCAGAGGAACTGGAGCTACACGGTCTTTTCAAATTCTTGGTCAAACATCGAGACAAGATACAGTGTAGCCCTTGCCGTCAAGCCGCTAATACCATACAAAAATGGCAAAGACTGGTTTCTGGCATCCGCCATGCTGCTGTTCACCGTCTTTCACAGGATCGCGAATCTCTCCTCCAAATGAACCGCGTCGCCATTGAGTTCTCTCTCTGTATCGGTGGACTTTCAAGTGTGGAGAAGCTTCGCCGTCTCTTGAAGTTTCTGGAAGATAGACTCCCAAAGTCAGAGCGCCGTCGAGCGCAGCCAAGACGAAATTTCAAAAACCAAGCTTCTTCGTCAAGAATGCGCCTCGAAGGTCTCAAAGACCGATTTCTGTTGCTGCCGAAACACACACAGAGAGTTCTTCACCGGATTGAGGCAATGTACAATTTGGAAGTGGAACGGTTCCTGCAATGTGAATTCAGATGACATCTACTCACTGGTTCAAATTCTTGATGTTGAAATACGACGTTCTGTTGACGTGTATCTAGGGATATACGGATGTGAAATGATTCGTTAAGCGGTCGAAAATACTGCGCTTGAATGCGGACCGACAATTGGAATCTCATCGTCGGCCCAAGGGACAGTGGATCAAGGAGGTTTGAATTTGTGGCCCAGAGGAGAAATCAGAATGATCTGTTAGGGTCCAGCACAGCCAGAACCGCTTCCGTGCCGGCCTAAAAGAACACGGTCATCTTCCTGGAGGTGGGACTATGTGCATCGTGTCTGTACCGCCAGAAAGTTGAGATACAGGCGAGCAGAACGTCCACTTTGGCAGCATTTCATCGGTTCGGGTGCTACATTGCGATGTCGAAGGAACAGCGGCCAACTATCTTGATAAACTAGTCCCGGTGCATGTTCCTACGTCAAAGGCGGTGATCAGCAATGAAGCCTCAGCATGAGGAATATAAGCGTAGTTATATATCTTTCCATGTATTCCGTAGAGGAAGTAGCAATCGCCCTTCTTAGGAATGACAACAATATAGAGGATGTCCCAAAGTCAAAGGACTCGAGCACGATGGTGGTGCCCTTGGAACAGGCCCGCCTACACATTTTCATCCTTGTCATGCAGAACCAGGAGGATTTCATCGGAGTGTTATGTGGCCCGGGAAGTACTGCGGACAGCGTATAAGGATTCACGATACTATGAGTGTTCCCGTAGGGAGACAGGACATGGTAGCAAGGGGGCTCTGGGAAAATGGAAATACGGCATTCTTGTCGGCTCAAAGTAATACGTTTGCTTGGATTTAATAGGATCGATGGTCGAAAGCAGGGTAATCTTGGGGTGAAGCGTACGATTTGTTTTGACCTACACCCAAGCCAGGAGGAAATTAGTTTGACAGAGACCGTGGAATGACGAGGGTAACTGACGATCATTAGCGGAACCGCAAATCATTCAACTGCTTAGTTTGGACGACCCATGGAATCGCCTGCTCGGTGAGAGAATGCGGTCGTCATGAAGGATTCAGGCCCGGGCTTCTGCCCCACTTGCGTTCTCGGTTGCTCGTGATTAAGCCCTACAGCCCAAAAGAGAAGTCCAGAGAATTGGGGCAGATTCACCACAGTCTTGACCTGCTCATATACAGGGAATTGGAACAGACCAGCAGTGTACTAGAAAGATTCTCTCTCGCTACCGTCGTAATCAAGATGCGGAGGGTAATTGAGATAAAGTTTAGGGGCCGCAGGAGGGCCGGCCCACAACCTCAACCCATTTCCGGCAGCCAATCGGTTCCTCGGTTTTAGTTCAAAAACCGGAGATATTTTTACATAAGCTCATGAGATCTGTCCATGATTGGCATAGTTTCTACAAGCTATCCGCTAGGGATATGGGACTGACGATTGAACTGGGCCGATGAGGGGGCTGTGTCGGATTCGAAGAGAGTACAATCTCTACGGGGAAGCTTTACGCAGGACAGAAGACATAGCTTCTAGAACGTTCTACAGACCAGGTAGACAAGCAGCTTGCCACTTGACAGGAGAATTACTCTCCTGTGACAGGAACTAGGAAAGCATAACCACGGATCGGGATTTAGCCAACCATTCTGTTGCCAGAATTTGCGTGATATTCCAATACCTCCCCTGCCTGTACCGTACTTCGACCGTACCTTCTACGCAACAAAGTCCTTTTCCATCGGACACTGACGGCCGTCAAGTTTGGGTTTGTGGATCGTGTCTGGACCTTCCAATTTCTTCTCCGGGCCATAAATAGAACCTCCTTCATCTACTGCCCCGTGGGTCGTCGCTGGGACCTGCGATCAGTACCAGCATCTGTCTAAATTCACGCGTGGTGTTTGACCGGTTCTTCTGGTGCTATTTATCTCCAGAGACTCATCAGTGTGATAGTAGCATTACAATGTTTGAGAAACGTGGAATTCGCGGTTGATGTAGTCGAAGCAGCGCGTATGCATCGTGTTCAATCGAGTGAAATGCAACTAATCTCCAGCCACGCTACCTATTGACGACTGGGATTCTTTTGGGGGTGGACACCCCCTCTGCCTTGCACTGCGCTTCCAAAAATGGTTCCACGAAATCCCACTTTTTCATAAGAACCTGCACCTTCTTTTTGAGAGCTTCGACTTCCCCTTCCAAGTATTCGATTTTCCTCCGTGCGCAGTCTTCGTCTTCTCGAAACCTGTATTGTCTTATTAGTCTTCCTCTTCTTCGCGTACAGGCCCGGACCCAGAATGAAGGAGAGGGTTAAAGTGTAGCTCTAGCGAAGCCCGTCAAACAAACATACCTCACTCGCCGAATTGGCCTGTGGTCGTTATGTTAGTCATAAAAATGATGCCAGTCGTACTGTGCATGTCACTTACGGGTTGGCCGCATTCGCATGCGCCTGGGGACGTCTCTTGAGAGAGTCTTTCTCGCTCGCAGCTTGTCTCTTCTTGACGGGATCATGTGCTTCATCGTGAGGTTCATCGTCCTCGGGGCGGTCAGAAGACTCAAGAGTCTATCGAGGACTCTTCTGCCAGCGCCTTTGACAATCGGGCAGCAAAACTCCCCATTCTGTGCTCAGTTCGTCGCTGCGAATGGTCGTACATTGCAGAGGGTTGTAGGGGGGAGAAGGGATGTTACTAATGATGCCGTGTGAAAACCATGATACCAGGAACGCGCTGAGTCATCGTGGATGAAATGAGGAACTCTCCTTAGAGTTTTTGGGTGGCAAAAATCAAAGGACGTCGACTTGTTGAAGAGACCCAGCAGAACAAGCCGTTGAATGGTTGGACACAGTGCAGAAGACACTTTGGATACATGTTAGTGAGAACAATAACTCAACGCCTCAGCATTGAGTATCTTTTGTGAGGGCACCAGTACGTTGAAGGTATTCATTCCCCATCAACGCATGTTACATGAACCAAGCCGCGGTACTGTGCCCCTCGGCAACCCAGGGCAACCACGGGCATAATGGGGGTGTGAATCTGTCCCAAACGTTGAAAATCACGAAACCATATGCAACCCTTCGTTGAACGATTTCAACTCTTGAGCAGCCTGATGGTGAGTGTCGCTAGCAGGTGCGCAACTGGTTCCTTGGTAGAGACGTAGCCGAAAAATTATAAAAGGGGCGGGATTCCCAGCCCAAAAACTCAGGACTTCTGTCCTCACACTTTGGTCTTCAAACTTGACGCATCAAAGTGTCCCTATCTGCCTGCGGGCTTGAGAGGTTCCGTGACCACGGCTGTCGCTGCCAGCGACGTAAGAACGTGCTCCCTCGCTGCCCTGAGCCCCGCGAGTGTAAGAGTGTGCTCCCTCGCTGCCCTGAGCCCCGCGAGTGTAAGAGTGTGCTCCCTCGCTGTCCTGAGCCCCGCGAGTGTAAGAGTGTGCTCCCTCGCTGCCCTGAGCCCCGCGAGTGTAAGAGTGTGCTCCCTCGTTGCCCTGAGCCCCGCGAGTGTAAGAGTGTGCTCCCTCGTTGCCCTGAGCCCCGCGAGTGTAAAAATGTGCTCCCTCGCTGCCCTGAGCCCCGCGAGTGTAAAAATGTGCTTCGCAGGACGAGCTCTGCGTCAACAAACGTGCTTTGCAGGGGATTGCTGCGTTAACAAGCCCTCTAGCAATGTGCAGGCACCTCTTCGTGGTGTTAGAGACCAGTATTCGATATTCAACAGTATTCGAAGAAGCAAAGACCTGCCCAACCTCCTCACAGTCTGTTTCTTTTCCGAAGGATCATCATTGGACAGATAGAATGAGCCCTAGATAGATCGTCCCAAATTCAATGGCCAACATTATATAACAACGAAAGTGTCATTTTTATCAAAGGGGAGGTTCCCAAATGTTCTGCACTGATGGTTTGCGGTCCGATAGTCCTTTCGCGTAGTGAAATTGACACCCTTCATTCAGGCGTAGGGCAAACATGTTGGTGAGAATTGGTGAGAGTGTTGATGTGTTGGTGTTTTGATGTACTGATGTGTTGATGTTGATGTTTGATGTTGATGTTTGATGTTGATGTGTTGATGTGTTGATGTTGATGTTGATGTTTGATGTTGATGTTTGATGTTGATGTGTTGATGTGTTGATGTTGATGTTTGATGTTGATGTTTGATGTTGATGTTTGATGTTTGATGTTTGATGTTGATGTGTTGATGTGTTGATGTGTTGATGTGTTGATGTGTTGATGTTGATGTTTGATGTTGATGTGTTGATGTGTTGATGTTGATGTTTGATGTTGATGTTTGATGTTGATGTTTGATGTTTGATGTTTGATGTTGATGTGTTGATGTGTTGATGTTTGATGTTGATGTGTTGATGTGTTGATGTGTTGATGTGTTGATGTGTTGATGTGTTGATGTGTTGATGTGTTGATGTGTTGATGTTGATGTTTGATGTTGATGTGTTGATGTGTTGATGTTTGATGTTGGTGTTTGATGTTGATGTGGTGAATGGTCGGGCGGTGAAGGGAGTGCTGGTCACCGTCTCACAGAGGCAACGCGGTCTCTTGCCATGTCCCCCACATCATAGAAACTTCAATTGCCTTTTTTTTTTTTGGATCCTGCAAAGCAATTTTGATCCCTGTTGGTCACACCTTGACTATGGCCTCGAAATAATTGTGCAACTCTGATCACGCAATATACTGTACACTCAAGATCAGAACTAGGAAGTGTAGAGCCATGTGATGTATTTCGTAAATCCGAATCACGGATTCAATCCAAGATGATTATGCGATAGGCTCAGTTTCTTGCGTCGCGAAAAAAATTGCTTCAAATGACTATTGCTAGTCACTCGAACCTATTCTACACTAGAATGCCTACATCATAGAGCGACTACGAGAGTGAGTGTTTCGTTCTCCCGAGGTTAACATGTCATTGGTAGCTTTGGCTCGGGAATATCTGACCCGCTCCTTCTACATGTAGGAGCCGTCGCAACTTTGTGAATAATATCCCGCCAGTAAATCCAACCAATCTCTCGTAGAAGTCCACTACAGCGACGAAGAAACGGTCGTTATCTTCTGTTAGGCTTATTCCCCACTACATGCGATAAATCATGCTCCGCTGCTGATATGGCATGACTGAATTCCGATCGGGGCCCAACAAGCCATCTGGAATCAGAACCGGTAAAGGCACTCTCCACCATCACTGCTCGGGACCTGGTGATTTGTACAGGGGTGCTCTAATCCACGTGCGGTCCTAGCAGGCATCCACTGAAATTCCTCCCCGAGCAAATATGGCACAAGGCCTTACTAGGAGTAGAAAATTCGTATAGGCTGTACGGGACATTCAGAGGTCCTACAACCCGAGGGCTCTTGTGGTGCTGTTACAGACATCAAACCCACCTTCACGGTGAATTGCTCAACAGTGATATGCCAGATATCGCCTTGGGCGCGGAGAAATACATCATAGATGGTCAGAGCACAGTGAGCTCGGGAGGTAGAGAAGTCGATTTGCTGGCAAGACCTGCTTCCCCCTCCAATTGCGATATGTTAGACAGGTTCTCAATGGACAAAGGATACTGGATGGCTTGACTGACCTCCAGCTGCTCTGACATTCAAGGTGTATGGGCTTTGCACGTAGTGCTCGGGCATGGATAGAAAAACACAGGCTTAGGAATGAAATCACCAAGCTTCTGTCTAACAGGGAAAAGCAAACAATCCTGATAGCATGCAGCTCCGTGTATGTCCGAGTGGTTCCCGCTCGCCCGTACATGTCCAAAAGCTCAGCAACCCGGAGAGGAAGAGGAATCAAGATGACTCTATCAGACGTAGTTCTTGGGTTATGGGTCCTCTCAATCGTTTGGCCATCCGCGTCTTGTCCATCGATTCGAAGCTGACATGACTATTGTTAGTTGATTTGGCTAAAAATGACGGGATGTTTGCCTCACCTTCTCCATGCAAGCAGTCTCGACTAACAACCTCGCGAGTACGAAAATATGGGTCTAGCTAGACAAAGCATTGGCTGCGTTGGCTTCTCCCGGTTTCTTAGGGGTTTTAGGCTCAAAAGACGCTAGACGCCATCCAAGAACACCCACTGGACGCCGGGGATCCAAGCCGCAAGTAGGCTATCCCATGTAGGTGTTCGAATGCCGAGAGACAGACACTGCTATGCGCTCTGTGGGGTCTTGCATCAGGTAAGCATACCAACGCGTGATCTGATGAACCAAATCGACTAGAAGAAGGTCGAGGTACAGAGGATTTCGAAAACAGTTTACCCCCCAGACACACACGTTTGCTTTCCCAGAGACCCACAAGGACGTCTAGTCCGGATCGCTGGGTCTCAGATTCCCCCGCAGCCAACAATACGGTGTTACGCCTCAAAAACGGTACCTCAGCTAGCCAAAGTTAGATTAGCGCATTCTGAGTGGGGCGCTGGGAAAGAAAGCGTGTGTCTGGCGGTAAACTGTTTTCGAAATCCGCTGTAGCGACTCGTCGACAGTAGTCATGTGGAAGAAACAGAGCATACGATGGTATTAGTATAGGGGAGGTCGAGCAGACAAGACATTTGCTCGCTTCGCATTCGAGTGTGAGAATCTGAGGGTGTCTTCGTGTGGTGAGATCCGAGTCAGCAAGTGTTGATCTAGTTGGACGAGGTGTTGTACTTTACGTTGTTGATGAAGAATTCCCCGAGTGTACGGTTGAGACAGATGGTCAATTAGGCTCGCCATCATACCAGCTTACCAACTAGATCACTGCCAATTCTGTTCTGCGATGCAGTCACCAATATGCCATGTTGTATCCAGGTTCGTCGCGCTCTCCGGTTGTCGCTTCGAGAAACCGCGCTGGATACACCGGGCAAGTTTACAAGACGGCAAAGGCGCGTGACGAGCCCAATTGTGACAAGAAATTGTACAGTCGTATAGGGAGACTGCTTCGTGTAGAGACACACCGTTGTTGAGGGTGTGAAGGTGGTGAGGTTGAAGGCGAAAGACGCGATGGAGCGCGTCGGCTCGCTTGGTTTTATCTGACTCGGCGGGAATAGGTTACTCGCCACAAGAATTTGCACAGTCGGCGATGGGTTGCTCCTACAACAGCATGAAGATGTCAGTGGGGTTCGTGTGTGGGGCACAGACTTGGCATCAAAACCGGCGCAGCAGGAGGCGCGATATTCCACTCACCTCATCGAGCTTATGCGCCCTGTTGTTGCCCGCGCCTTGGTTTGCAGTATTTCACATAGGACACGTTACACCGTTTGAAGTAACAGGGCCAGAAATGGCGTGTAAGCCATGACCCTGCGCAGAGCACTTCCGGAGTGCTGGTTCGGACTCACTTTGGTGCGCTGTCAACGGTTTCCTGTCCATCGTTAGCTTGTCGATCAGCGAGGCAATGCATGACACGTGTTCTGAAAGAAGACGTGGGAAAGGGCTCCGTGGCTTTGCGCGTGCATTGGGCGGACTGTACGGATCTGGTTGTTTTGCATCATCGTTGAAGGCAGTTTGAATTCTAGACAGTATCGTGCTGATACTTACATACCATTTAACCCGCTGTTTGCCTCGGGGATATTCAGGGACGGGACAGAGGTCGGTTGTTGTGGTGGACAGATGTTCGCATAGTTACTTTGACCAGCTAACCCAAATCTGCTTCTTGGTCGGCTGGCATGGGGCTGATGGGAATCACATCCTCACAAGCACTTTCTATTTTGTCGGTCCACATTGTATCTGCAGATGTCAGTACAGTGGAAATTCCATAGGGTCAAAGGGAAGAATTTATCAGGTGCCTCAAACCGAAGACCTGGTCGACTTTGCGCAGCAAGTGATAGTATTGTAGAACAAATTGCTGGGGGAGAGCACGTATTTATAGGCTTCTCGGCTCCTGTCGCGACGTGCTCTGCTAGGTGGCAAACGTTGAAGGACACGATGTCTATCCTAAGTGAGGCCTGTTGTAACATATACCGCAACTGTTTGCAGCAAATTTCTTTGGTGTGGTTTTAAGTGCTCACCGAGAAAACATGCTAGAGTCAAGTAGAGAATGCGTCAAAGTGAGTCGGTTAAGAAACGTTGGCTCACTGTTGAATCTACGGTCTTAATACTGAGGCAATGGAAGCTGTGCATTCTTTGATTTTACCAAGAGTGCTCACATTTTCATCTAAGGAAGATGAAAATTTTCTGGCCTCGCTCGAGTGTTGATTGTCTGAGCTGTGTGTGGTTCTGTCCGTGTGGAAAGCGTCAGGCCACGGTCGTGCGCGGGCGCGGGTACGTACTTGACCCGTCAACCCGTTGAAGCTTGGCCGTCCTTGTTGACGAGAGTCAACTTTTGAACTCATGATCATGGTTGAGATGGATACCTTGTTTTTTCGATTTTCTTTTTCCCTCCTTAGATTTTACTCTATTTACTTTTGGGATTTCTGAGCCCTCAAACGAATGTGGCAAATGCGTTATGATTGAATATATATCTTCCGGACCGTTCATCACCGGAAGCCACTAATATGAGGTGTGGCTTTTCTTTTAGTCCATAAATGGCTCTCCAGCACAATGTTTCGGCCACTACTTCATAACTAAAATGGGCCATCCCACTTCGCCTTCCCCAATTGATCGGCCAGTCAAGAGACAGTGCTGAGTATCCTAACCTCCAGAAGATGAAACCAAGTTGCAGGACCATCCACAGCAAACCTCAACCGGCACAACCATCGACACAAGGTTGGTCATACAGTATGTGTGTGTGTAGTTCATTTACGACGACCTCTCGTCGAAACGATATACAACCTACCCCTACTACGTATAACTTATAAGTTATAGTCTCGGCGTCTTCGACATTGACTTTCGGATATAATTGCTGTAGGACTGATTTATAATCAGATGCCTCAGCAGATACCTGTTCAAGCTTCCTGTTTCAAGTATGATGTTAACCAGGCTAGAGAACCAAAATGGATTTGTCTTACCTCTGCGTTTCATCCCATTTTCTCGCTGGGTACTGACAATTGTGTTGCAGCATCGTGCAACGCTGGCACCGGGGCTTTTCTCCGGTGCACTTTGATTTGCTCGCACGGCATGGAGCACATGCACGTGGAATACGGCGTTGCAGGGATGAAGTAGGCTTGTGCAATCTTGGAATCTGCAATCTTGGAATCGGCAACTTTAAGGAAATGCTAGAAGAAGTTGTAAGGCCCGGCAAATGTACTTCCTCTGGCTGTTCCTCATTTGTTTGTTGAGCACTTTCCTTGCCGCCGATGCCAGACTTGCTTTGAGAGTTCCCATGCCCAGGAGGAAAATCCGTGTCTTCATTCATGATGTCAATGGGATCCATGGATGTCATAAAAATCAAATGTTATCGGCTTGGGAGTCAAGTTCGCAGTCTCACCACCAAAGAATTGGTTTACGTGGAGCCTCAGGTACCATCTGGACAATAAATGGGTTCACAAGTTTGAATTGAAGATGTTATCATTCTATTCGTGGCTCCCGTCACCCCACACCGTGAAGACGGTGTGGGGTGACGGATATTTGTTCCACTCTGGAGGACGTTCTTGTGTCGATAAAAGAGGGTCGCCCCACATGCCTGATTTCAACCATGATCGTAAGGCTCTCAACGACCTTACTAAGCTCATCCCCTATTTATTCTGCACTTTCTATAGTATATAAAAGGAACACTCTCAAGTACTCAATTGGCTATGCCCGTACTAGTCCGTACTGTACCGACCACGTTCCGACATGAATTCATGGAGGTTTTTGACCGGCAGTATATTATATAATCATGAGGGTTGTGCGGCCGGGGGGTGCAAGAACTTATGTCCAGTCATTTTCCCCGCTTGCTGAGCACACACTCGGATAAATAGTTGCTACATCAGCTAGTCCTAGGAATTACACTGATTCTATGATGTCAGGCTGACCATTGGTCTATAGTAGAACTAGCGCGTACCGCATCTCCTGGAATCGACACTGTATGTATCCTTTTTTTCCCAGGTTTTACCTGGGTTAAGACAAATTCACTTATTTGATTCTCACCCATACATTTCAGTTCAGTAGATCAAAATCGCTCCTTCATGCTGCATTATTCTAGCCTGCTAGTCTAATTCAACAGATCAGATTTCCCCGACCGACTATTTGATCACTATTTTATGATCAAGTTGACTGTCAACAGCCCGCCGAAAAGTAACAAAATTCTGGTCAAAGTCTGACTACAGAAAGCTTCCGTCGAGCGCAATCAAACGTTCTTTGATGTGGCTTACAAACATCAAATATGAGCGAGAACCACCGACCCACACAGCCCATCCAACCTCCATTATTGGGGGCTGGAAATATCCCCCCGTATGGCATCCTCACCCACATACTCTGTATTGAAACTATGTATCATGCAGTATCCATGATGTTAGAACCACCAATCACAACTGGGAAACCATTCAGGATTGTAAAAGCCCCGCCCATCATTGCTGCGATAGCCACCCGCTTTTGGCCCCCTTAGAGCCCAAGGCTGCCACAGGGGCAAACGATGTAGTGTGGCTGTGCACTTCAATAGTTTCTCTCCTGCATATTTTTTTCTTCTTTTTTTTCACCTCTGTAGGTCATCAGCTCTCAGCAATTCTGGTGGCTCGGGGATATCATGGACTTGTTTGAAGAACACCATGGAAGCTTTCTACCGAAAAGAGCTCACAGCCAATATTCGCATCCCTTAGGTTATGAAAATTCCGGATCATCAAGCAAGCGAATATGCATGGAAACCACAGCTCCAGAGCTCAACCTTCCAATGCCATCTCTCCTGAGTGTTTGTTCTAGCCCGATGGACTTAAATCCAACGGATGCCCCAGAGTGGCCACCCCAACTAGAAAAAACCCGTGATGACGCTGTACTCGCAACAACCATGCCTCAGACGATCGACTATAAAGGGTTCAAAAATAAGCATGCCCCAGCAAATTACCCACCGGTTATCTTCAACGAATCATGCAATCTCGATTTGGGTGACTCGGGAATAGAGGGCATTAACATGTATGATGCGGTCGGCCATTTCGACGGATACTCACAAGGAGGATTTTTGGAGAACGCTCTCATGGCTAAGCGCTATGAAGTGCTGTTCGGATCGGTAAGCGACTTGGCAGATTAGCTTGATGAAGCTAATTTCCTCAGCTTACTATGACTGCATCGTGTCGTAGCGTGCCAGATAATTGCTCAAGTCTGTTACCTGTTAGTGTGCAGGTTTTCGGCGACTTTTTGAAACTCTACACTACAGATTCCAAAAGTTATGTCGGCTTGCTTGATTCGCCAAATTTGAGCAGACTTGCTTCTGAATATTCAATTCATTTATCAGACGCTTTCTTGCAACCGAAGAAAGAGGCGAACAAAGAATCTCCAGACAAAAAGACCATTCCAATACACGTTAATATCTACGGACTGCGTCAGACTAGCGACCTGGTTGCAAAGTCTTTATCGGAGAACGGCCTCTTTCTCCAACATCCAGTTCAATATGATCTTTCAGTCCCCTACGAGAATCCTCAGTATCTATTGCTTCCAGGGGTTGGAATGCCAAACCTTGAATTTCTGACCATCCAGAAAAACTTCCGTCCAACACAGGGCAATGCCCTTCTGGAAAATGGCTACGCAGATGAAGTATATCGTATTTTCGATAGCGCGCATGGCCCTATGAGATTCACAGAAATTGGCGGCAGTACGCGCTTAAGGACATGTCTTCAAGAGTGAGTGTGGTAATTTCTTCTAAGACAAATACGATGATAACAGGGTTATAGTCACCAAAAGATGGCGCTTGCTATGATGATTGAGAAAGAACGTGGCGAAATTGAAAGGACCGATTTCCCATCGTTATGGGAGATTCAGCGGGATGTTGAAGGCAATGTCAGGTATGCATATAAAAACTCGCAACCAAGTGAACCTACTCCTCATGATTATAGTTATCGGCACGTTGTCACCGGAAGATCGCAGGTAGATTGCCCGCAACCTACACTTGGGGGGATATTGGCCGACGTAAGTTTATATTAAAGCTTCAATTGATCATGCTTCTCATAATTGCTCTAGGAGATGGGCCTTGGTAAAACATTGAGTGCATTGGCCCTCATTGCTTGGTATCTTGACGCTGCAACTTTGTCGAAGAGTGCTTCTCGTACGACACTCGTTGTCACAACACTGTCCAGTAATTTTTGAGTATTGAATGCTTGATGAATATCACTAATTAAAGTTTCAGCGATTCCTGGATGGCAACACCAGATTGAAAAGTATCATTATTGTCTCTTCTTGGACTTCCATAGACCAAAGCTAACGCGAGCCAGACACTTTTGGCCAGAAAGCGTCCGCATGGCGTTATATCATGGTAGCAATCGACATTCTCGGGTATCTGATATACCTGCCAATGACATTGTCATTACTACTTATGATACTTTGCGACATGAGTGGAGTACCAACCGCAAAAATAGTGCTCTTTTCTGCGCGTCAAGAAATTGGGCTCGAGTAATTCTCGATGAAGGTATGTCGGGCTGAGATTTGATCACCGCCTTCAACTAATAGATTGCACCAAATTTAGCACATCACATCCGTAACCGCTCTTCCAAAACCTTTCAGGCAGCTTGTGCGATTCCTGCTGTATATCGATGGTGCCTAACAGGGACTCCTATTCATAATCGACTTGATGACCTTGGAGCATTATTAACATTCCTTGGAGTGACTCCATTTATTGGCCAGGCAGCCCAACATGCCTTTAGGTATTGGATGAACGGCCCCATACAATCCAGCCGTCGTCACTTGCCGGACTTGAGTCGCTTGAGAAAACTTATTGGCGCAGTATGTTTGCGACGAACCAAAAGACTTATCGGGTCCCAGTTGAAGCTTTCTCTGCGTATTGACAAAAAGCACACCGTCGAGCTCGATGTTCAGGAGCGAAGGCTATATGACTTTTTCAAAAGGCAGTTTTCTCGTCTGGTTGCAAGAAATATGGCAGCAAATCCAAACACAAACAAAGAGCCCCAGAGAAACATATTATTTTTGATCAATTGTTTGAGATTGATATGCAATCATGGTGAAAGTCTCCTACCCCCCACTGCATTGAATTTGTGGCGCAGCCAGCTCTCTCCGATGGACGATTCTCATCTTTGCGAACATGGTGCAATATTCAGAGAAAGAGGTGAGACAACACCCGTCGCTACATTTGATTCCCTGAGTCATACTCTGTCACGCGCTGGAATGGCGAGGCCACAAAGTCGGCCTTCCTCGAAGGTCAATTCTCTGCTGAGGGCTGTTCACCAGGAACAGCACCTCAATCATTCTGCACAAAACAAATCGCCAGTGAAAAGGTACGTAAAGCATCGATACTCATTCTTTGAATTCTAATAGTATTGATCAATCTAAACTTGCAGTCTAATATTTACATACTGGACGAAGATGCTCGACTTGCTCGAAATGGAGCTACGAACACAAAATTTCAGATTCCAGCGCATTGACGGCCAGAAATCGCTCCAGGATCGGGCCATGGCTCTCGAGATATTTCACAAAGACCCAACGTGTACCGTAATGATCGCCAGTATTGGAAGTGTGGCCGAAGGGTATTGTGTTCATCTTTGCCTGATTGCATTATTCTGGCAACTTAAATCGCTGATTCAAAATCTTTAACTAGGATTGATCTTACAGCAGCCAGCTCAGTTCATATCATGGAGCCTCAGTGGAATCCAATGCTTGAGGAGCAGTCACTCAATCGAGCCCATCGCATCGGACAAACTCGAGATGTGATAGTAAACCGCTACATTGTCTCTAATTCTATTGAGAAGTAAGTTCAAACTCTATTACAATGATCGTTTTTTTCTTTCTTCAAATTCTAATCGTAGCCCTGCTTGATGACGGTCCAGTACGTACAAAGTGTTCAACAAGCCAAATTAAACATGGTAAATCAGTCACTCGATGGTGACCAGATCTCAGCGAACATGTGGAAGAGCAGATTCAAAGACAATCGCAAGGTGGGGGAACTTTCTTTCTTGGATGTTACTAGTTAGAGATGAGTAGAACTTATTCATGCTTTGGCTTAGGCTCAGTAAGATTCTTTGGCATTCAGAACCTATGTATTCTATTGAAGCTATGATGAATATCAAAAGATAAAGTGTAATCGTACCAAAGGTTTGATATCATGCTGGTTCTTAGATAACGTTATATGATAACCTGTAACCTTAAGTTGTATAGAGCTGACTCTATGCGTGAGGATGAGAAAATGGCCGTAATATTAATAGAATCCATAGAAGCCGAAGTCAGACCATATATCAAATTCATTACATAACTAACCAAACTAACGTATTTCACATGCGAGCCGCCCACCCAAGCGAGCCGCCCACCTAACCTAACCTATCAATTTCAAATGTAATTATCTCAACCAAAACGCCATTAAATTCAATAAGCTAAAAACGAGTTCTATTAGGACATGTAGTCAATTTATGACCCTGAATTCCACATATACAGCACTTCGGTAAGGCTCTCGTACGTGGCTGTACACGTGTCGGAGCGGATTCTGCCTCACGGGGCATTTGTGCTAAAACTGCTTGCACTGGCTGCGCTCCTAAGGTAGAGGCCTCTAAAACCGAAAGGCCTTCTTCGGAAGCTATTTGCCTTTTAGACCGAGTCCTTTTTCGCTTCTTCGTCTCGTTTTGAACGCGTAATTCGCTTACTTCTTTCTCGAGTAAAGCTGCCGATTGCATCGTAATTTGGCAGGCCTTTAAAACCTGATTTATCGCGGAGTTAAGCGGACTCGGTGGGCTTTTCGAGCGCTGTTTTAGCAAAGCTTTAATTGAGGAAGCTTGATTTTGCAATTGGACGTAGTTCGACGGCGTTTTTAGCTCCCACTCGCTTCCTCGGCTCGAGGGGGTGTCGGGGTTCGAAGGCAAATATCGAGCTTTGAGATTACTCGATCGGGGTTATAAGGCATTAAACCAGCGGCGGCGAAGCTATTCTTAATAGTCTCCGATTTAAATGCCTCGATTCGCGCGGACGGGTAGGCTTTGAGGAAGTCTAATTTATCGATGTGGTTAATTCTACCACGCATTTTCGATTCGATAAGACGACTATAAGCCCGCTTTAACGCCGCAAAACAGCCGATATCGAGAGGCTGTAAAAGGTGAGACGAATGCGGAGGCATACAAATTGCGACAATATCGTTTTTCTCGCAAATTTCGTCGAATTTCGGGGTTAAATGACTTCCGTGGCCGTCGAGTATTAAAAGTCTATACTTCCCCTTCGTACGCGAAGAAGTAGACGGAATAAAGAGCTTTTCGTGCCACCGAAGGCTAATTTCATCGGAAGTCCACCCTTTTCGACTAACCTCGAAGCGCCAATCGTCCGGAAGGCCGTCGAACCAAGACTCGACGAAGACTTTGCCCTTAAAGATCACGCACGGAGGAAGCGCCCAGCCCGAGGAATTTATACACTCAATTGCGGTAACCCACTCGCGATTTCCGGGTTGTAAAAGTGCTCGCCGACCGTAGTATTCCCTTCTCGTAACTACCTTTGCGGTCGCAATTAATCCCATTGCGAAACCAGTCTCGTCGAAGTTATAGATATCGTCGGGGTCGATGCCGTATTGAAGTATAGTCTTTTGGACGAGGGAAAACCAATCTCTAATAATCCTCGGGTCTTCACACTTCGCGCGATCGTAATTATAGCTTCTTGAGAAACGGGATGAAAGGTTCGGATGCCTTTTTATATAGTTTGTAACCCAATTCTCGCCAACCGTAACAACCGGGGTAGTTCCACGCGCCGCAAGAAGTAAATCTGCCATTTCTCGTATAGTAGACGGCCGGGGAGCTGCTCCGCGAAGGTCCATAGAGAGAATCCATTTTTGAAGAGATTCCTCTTCAATTTCAGTCATTTTATGCGAGTTTGCGCGTGTAATGCTTCGTTGGGTGTGGCCGGAGAGACGGTCGCGTAAAGTTGTACGCGGTACATTAAAAACGCGTGCTATTTCGCGTAGGGAGGTAATTTCTTGATTCTTAAAAGCCTGAATAGCTAATAAGATCCTACCCTCTTGTTCTTCTCGATTTTGAGAGCTTTGAGTACGAATTGGTGGCATGATGGGTGGTTGTAAATAGAGGGTCTAATTAATTGACGCGTTTTAGGTTAGGTGGGCGGCTCGCATGTGAAATACGTTACTACTCCATGTTAAATAATACTGTTAATAAGAGACATTGTCTAAGGCTTGCTGGTAGCTATTCAACCAGACGCAAATCATGATGGGGGAGACGTGAGCAAGTAAGGCCCTGAGAAGGAAGATATTACCTCCCTTATCGAGCAAGTCGAAGAAAAGAACAATTTTCCAATTAGCAAAGAATTCAATGTGCCGCTATGGCTCAAAATTAGGAAATATGGAGCTACCCCACGATTTCTGCTTTTTGTTCTCCAGCCATTTTCACCAGGTCATCCCACGACATGTCCAACCATTTTGATATATTCTGAGCCCCCTTTTCCATAGCCGAAGTTCTGAACGTTTCACCACTCGAGTCTCTCCCTGTCCCTCCACGACCAGACACCTTGAGCTGGGCATTCGCATCCGCACCCGAAACAAGGAGAAACCTCATCAACTCAGCCGCCTCCTTGCTTCGTTTGGTTGCGGCCCAGAGTAACGGAGTTCTTGACATTTCGTTTTTGGATTTTGATCTCCAGTCCACGTCTACTCCAGAGTCAATCAAAGCCTTTGCCAGTGGAACAGAACAAGTGGTAGAAGCGACTTCCTTCAACGCAGGACCTAGATCTGATTTTCTCAGATATCCTAAGGAGACTTGCTTCCTCCAGACCTCCGCTAGTCGTTCTTGCTTCAATGGATCTTTCACGCTCCGGATTAATGATCCTTCGAGGACAAAATCAATACCCCTAATGTGGTGCGCGAGAAATACCTTTTCCACAAGTCAAATATTTCGGCGGAATCGGAATTGACGCCGAGCTCCGTAATTTGCTTTACAGATGCAACAGAGAAGTCATCCCAGAAAACGCGACTGAGTCGAGGGGAAATCCAACTTAGGACCTCAACGTTTTGCCCTTTCATGGACTCCTGTACAACGATGATTTGTAGTTTCCTCACGTTGGTCTGATTCACGCTGACTGGTGTGCATGTCTCGTATAAGCACTGAACTATTTGCAATGGCGAAGAAAAGGATGCTTCCTTGAGCAGCCAACTTGGGGCAGCACGATTCATCATCTGTAGCTGTTTGCATAATTCTTCGATTTGAACAGATTTGCCCAATGAAACCAAATCAGATAATAACGGTATGATCTCATCTTCGTCAGGATTCAATATTGACTGTATTGGTTTCGAAGTTGCATCAATGTGACACTTTTCGGTGTGGGTATTCAACTGGAATCGAGAGAGAAAGCCAATTGATGAGAATTCACAAAACTGGTATGGACACTTGTATGGGCGGCCATGGCTCTTGCAGTGCTTTTCGCAGGAAGAGCGTGTATCGAACGCGATCTGCTGGGGCTGACAGATAGCATATCTGCATCGAAAGAGATTTGCCCCATAGTGCTTTTTCAACAGACAGCAGGTGCAGCCTATAGGGTGAATGGTTGCTGAGCAAAGAAGCAGCTCAAACTGATTATATATCGCGACCGAGGTAGACGATAAAGTGAGTGGGTCTAGTTCAGTCCACGAATCATCTACAATTGGAGTCTGTAAGCATCAAGCCTTCTTTTATGGTTGATTCATGATGGATAAATGCGATCGTGGGGGGGTTGAATACCTTCATCAAGCCTCCAATCACCTGTATCAAGATCTTGGAATTTGAGAGTGCGACTCAACAAAACATGTAACTTGGGCGAAATCTTTTTCACAATATCAAGTTCACCATATTGGAGACTATCATCAGCTAATAGCTTTTCGGATTTTGTGTTTTGGCGACGTTCAGCAAAAACTTCAAGTTGGCCGATCAAACTGCTGGAAGCAAGTTGGTGGTCCAAAAGTTTTGCGCATACCCGAACTATCTCAATCCACTGAGTGGAGGCGAACCAATGCAGACTATATGCCCCTGATCTTATATTGATCCTGATTTGTTCAGGGTCAATGTCAAAATCAAAAATATCGAGAGAAAGGTAAGCAAGGCACGTCCCAGCAATGTCGAGATTTGCTTCCGGCTTTCCAACGAAATTACCAGAACATGGGTCAAAGAGATATCTTTTACAGTTAGCCCTCAAGAATTTGAGCTTCGTATTTTGACTCACTCTTTGACGGTAAAATGCACAAAATGCACATAGTCCCCCGATATTTCAACAATGGGACCACAAATTTGTACAATATCCAACGACCGTTCAACTCGGGGTACCTTTCCTTCACAATCAGGGGTCATACTTAGAGCAAACGATAGCTCGTGAAGCTTCAAAGGTACAGGTGAGCAACCTATCCAGCCTATTGCTCTCCTGCATAGATCTTTCCATGATGTTTGCAACGTATTGAGACGCTGGAGAATACGACCGTAACTAAATTCTCAAAGAATATCAGACTTGAAGCGACCACACGGGGGAGGCAGAGGGCATCTCACGCTTCTTCCAAGCTCTCTGGGGGTGCTCTTAATTCCCTTTGAATGAAATCGAGACTGTGGCACATCTCAATGTTATCCATAACGATTCTCGCGTAGAGAAACATGCCTAGAACTATGAGCCTTAAAAGATTTTATAAAAATGATCTGGAAGACAACACACCTTTAGCTTTGGCTGAAAGTGGCATCAGCAAATCTCTGATCTCTGAGCAAGCCTGTTCGTCAAAATCCGATCCACTAAGCCATATACGAGACCTGTTGGAGACGTATGCTTGAATGCATCCAAGATTTTTTTCATCGACACGAATAACATCGGGATTGGCTTTGTTGAGAGCCGTGGCAATATCCTTCTCTGCTCTGCTGCTGATTAAAATCTTGGTATCATTTGAGTCTTGCAGTACTTCTAGAAGTTCCTGTAGAGTTTCCGTTCGCTCTCCCTTGGGAAGTTCATCTAGACCGTCGATGACGATGCGAGTTGGGCCGGCACATCTAAGCATGTTCGACAGTGTTTCTCGAGCAAACTTGGTATTGCTTTTCAGATTCCGTTTGGCTGAATGGAAAGTGTGAAAAAGCTTGACCCTTAAATCTTGTCTCAGAGACTTATCACCCCCTTCTTCGTCTATCAGCAGTTGAAATATCAAAGAGTGAACAATCGAGATTGTCGATGTGTTTCTTTGTCTGTAGCTTAAAAAAGCAAACAATGTGACTCCTGAAAACTGTCTAGACTTTTCCACGACCATGGATGAAACATGGGACTTTCCTGCCAGTTTGATAAAGTATGTCAGTCAGTATTTGCGCGATGCTAGGCAATAAAAGTCGAATCATAAAATTTACCTGCTCCAGGCTTCCCTTGTATCCAGACAAGCCTGGTTGAAGAATCGCTGATATCGAACCATTTTTGAAAAGCTTGGTCTGTTTGCAACCAACGTCCAGTCCTCTCGCAAATGTTTCTTTGAAGTAGACCAAATTCATCATCATAGAATTTCGGCGAAATGTAGGACTCAACCGCCTCAAAATCCTGTCGCGCTTGAAAATCGATATTACGCTGATAATCATTCAGTATCGTGATGCGGGCTTCATGTGCCTCCTTGATATGTTCAAGATTGACCTCCTCAGTCAGCAAACGACGATGGCGATCGATGTTAGTCGACACGATATCGATCTTGATTTTATGTTTTGGCCACACGGACTCGAAAATGTAGATCCAGCCTATGTATATTAGCCGTGACATCAAACAAACCATGGAAAAGGTGAAAGGCCAGCGAAACTCACGTTTCGCACTGAAAAAATTCAGTGTTATCTGATAAGAGTCAAGAATATCTTTGTAAAAGAGGACTAAAACGTCTGCCATCCTTTCGTTTTCCTTGAAAAGCTGAGTGTACTTTTCAAAATAAGGCAAACTATCTCCAATCTTCACCATAGTGTCTAGAATAGCATCGAATGATAATGACACATTTTTCGTCATCTGCATGAGAAGCTTGATTGGTCCCCAGATCAGAGCGAGAATTTCTGGCTTGGAACTTATCAAGACTTCGATAACTGAACTAAATTGTTGAAGTCGGTCGAGGTAAGACGCGATCTTCCGCAAATTTCGGAGATCTTGACGATTGCCTTGATCAGTTTGCAGCTTGTGTAAAAAATCGTTTATGTCTTCAATTGACGTGGAAGTGGAAACTTGTTCGATTATTGAAGGGCTCTTGAGGGTGGACAAGAAGTCACGTTTTGCATTCAAAAATGCTTCAGCTAACCTTGAGTCGGGGACTGCCATCATGTTGGTAGGGTTGAGAATGGTTCAGAGACGTTGAGTGCGCGGGCAGTTAATGATGCGACTGCCCCTCCGTTTGTTTTGCTGTGGCGGTGCTGACACCACTGCCACACATACGTATATCGGTAAGGGACTGGAGACCCTTGCATACTATATTGCTGGTAAACAAGATACTTGGACGCAGTGAATGTTGTACATAGAAAATAATTGATAAAGCTTTCCAAGGGTAGAATAGGAGGAACCCAATAAAAAGACGAAGGAGAAATTTCAGTTCTTACATGTTCAAAAATTGTGTCGATGTAGGGCCAAACTTCAACGAGTTTCGCGAGTCGGTGCAAGCGACCGTGAGTGGCCCACGTTTCAACACGACCAACACAGCACTAAAAGAAAGGCTAGGAAGAAAGTGCATGGTTTCTAGGGATGAGATTGAAGGCGCTTTTCGGTGGTTCGATGTTGAATCGCTCACAGATGAGGTGATCAGAACACGAAATATGAGCCTATCATTGCGGATCCAATGTGTACAGCAGTGAGCCAGCGTTTCTTAACCGCCTCAGCATCCCATTTTCTCAACACCATTCTTACTCGTCTCTCTCGCTGAGCTAAAGGCATAAAAACTGTCGCTGCATGTCGCTGCGAATAATTGCGGTAAAAGAAGAAATGGGATTCAACAGGCCTTAATTAAGATAGTTGTCCTTCAACGCGTTCTATCAAGCAGAGCACTTGCGCAACAGAAGGAGCCGAGAAGCCTATAAATGCGTCCTTGATCCCTTGCAATTTGCTCTACAATTCATTCGCTTGATTACGCAAAGCCTAGCAGGCTTGTATCTGAGTCATTTGATAAGTTCTTCCCCATTGATCCAGTACTAAAATTCCCACTGTACTGAAATTTATAGAATACATCGTGGATTAGCAAGCCAGACAGTGCCTTTGAGAGATACAGGTATGATTCCCACCAGATGCACTACCATTCACACCAGCCGATTAAAGATGTCTATGCGAAGATGCCTCCGCCAAAGCAGCCGACTGGGCTGATCTACTGCACAACCTCTGTGTATTCCCAAAAGAAAGCGCGAATATTCACGTCGAGATATGTGAATCTTAGCCTGACCTGTCTCACTGATTCTGAAGACGATGCCATTTCAATAGAACCGAGGACAATTGACCACAATACACGAGCGCAAAGGCCACCGCTGTTTGCCGTCTCTTCGCTTATGGTGCTGACCACCGGAAAATGTGAGTCATGAATTATGTCGCCGATCTACAAGCTAATGAATGACAGTGAACCATCGACATCGCACCATAAGTCCCCGAGGATACAGCACCGCCGTTAGTGCTCTGCACAAAGCCACTGCCTACACACTATTCATGGCCCGTCGCATCAAACCACGCAGCATACACTAGGTGAAGAAGGAACGGGCTAATAACAGGTGCGGTTATCTGATTGCGAGCTTCGCTGCATGGAAGCTTGAGACGTCTATTCTTCCTGATAATGTGAGTGATTTATCGCGCCTTCCGCGGCGCTATATCAGTTGTTGCGAATTTTTGTGCTCTAAATCACCAATACCATTACTGATTTTTATGCCACTGTACATAGGAGCAGCCATCGCCACTGTGAAACATCCATGTTGGGAGTCCTATCGCCGGATCGGAGATAAGACAAGGTGGCACAACGACGGGTGATCCATCGCGTCTTCCGCCTCAACCTCACCGCCCTCACACCTTGAACGGCGGAGTGTGTGAACCTCTCGCCGTCCCCATCGCAAGGTCTTTTCTTATTACGACTGTACGCTTTGTCGTCGCAGATGGATTCGTTACGCGTCTTTGGCTTTCAGAAGTCGCCCGGTGCACTCAGCGCGGCTTATTCGAAGCGACCGCCGGAGAGAGAGAGAGAGAGAGAGAGAGAGCGACGAACGTGCATACAGTACAACATGACATGAATGGCGACTGCATTGCTGAAGAGAATTGTAAGTGATCTTGTCGGTAATAGAATATGACTACGAAGCCAATTCATCGTTTCGTCTCAAGCGAACGTTCTGCGAAGTTTATGAACAGGTAAGTTATAAGAACTCTTCCAACTAGTTCAAGCCTTGCTGACTCGGATCCTACATCAGGACGCCCCTCGTATTCCCGTCCCTCTAGTAGAATGCGAAGCGAGCAAATGTCTAGTCTGCTCGAGCTCCCCTATGCCGATGCGATTATATGCTGTCTATCCGTTCCATATGACTACTCGCATCGACGATGAGTCAATGTAAGGTCCATATCGTCTACCCCGGCCCTTCTCTTGGTCGACTCTGTGCAGCAGGTCATGTGTTGATGTCTGTCGGCATTCGAACACCGTGAAAGAACAGCCTCCTTGTGGATCGAATTACTGGTGTCCAATGGGTGATCCTCCATGTCCGGTTGGTATCTCGCGTCTTTTCAGTCCTGGAACTCCAAAAGACCCGAGGAATTCTGGTGTTTTGTCTTGCTTCACGGCAGGTGAGCCATACCTTCGCATATGGACAGATTGTTAGTCCAAGTCTGCGTGCAAGGAGAAGGTGAGGCAAAGGTCCCGTGATTTCGATTCTACGGATTAACAATGGCCATATCAGCTACGAATAGAGAAAGAAGACCATCTGTCCCGAGTTATAGCAGAGCCAACTATAGAGCCGCAATTTAAGGATCTCCGGCCGATACTGTCCTACCTGGTCCTACTCCGCGTTGTTGAGCCGGTCGACGTATTTGAGCGGGTGGAAATGAACAAGCAAAAACGAACGAGCAAAAATGAACCAACCGGACATACACGACGCTGCATCAAGCGCGCTGTCAGAAACATTGTGTTGTCTTTGGACAGACATTTGGTAGATTTGATACGTAAGCACGCTTTTTCTATCCAAGCCCGAGCAACATGTGCAAAGGCCATTTATCCTAGATTTCACTGCATCTGCAGGTCAGTCAAGCCGAGCGTGTTTATCATTTTCTCACTGAAAACGTCTTCTAACATATCGTGCGCAAGCAGCTGTTGGCAGGAAATGGCCGAGTTCTCTGCGCCCCCTACGTCGACTGTCCTTGAGCATTAAGTATATATTTGTCAAACTCACCGCGCCGTGGACGAATTCATGCAGTGTTGTATAACAAATTGCTGGGGGAGAGGGCGAATTTATAGGTTTCTCGGCTCCTGTCGCGTACGTGCTCTATTATGGAGCAAACGTTCAAGGACACGACGCCACAGTATCCTAAGTGAGGTCTGTTGCAATCCATGCCTTCGTTCTACCGCAACTATTTTCAGCGAAATTTTTGGTGTCATGTTAGATGCCCACCGAGAGAAAAAAGCTAGAGTCATGTTGAGAATGAGTCAAAGTGAGTCGGTGAAGAAACGTTGGCTCACTGTTGAATCTGAGGTCTTAATATTGAGGCAATGGAAGCTGTTCATTCTTCGATTTCATCAAGAGCGCTCACATTTTCATCCAAGGAACATGGAAATTTTCTGGCCTCGAGCGCCATCATTAGATGGACTGCTAACAACGTGTTGAGATTGAAAAGCTGACTACGCTGATTGACTCTCATGGTAAAAATGAGACTGAGTACCTAGCCACCTATGTCTGCTAGTCTATAAAACCCTCCAAGAATTGATGGAGGTGGTATTGCCCAGATACTCGACTTTCCCCTGGGATCAAGATGGATGCCCCTAACAGCACGCCAGACCAGGAAAAAGAAGGAGAACAGCGGCCCAGTGCATTGCCAATCGTTTCTGAAAAAGAGAGTTCGCAGGAGGCTTCTGATGATGCACCAATGGTAAGTGGAACGACTCAGCTTCGAATGCTCTTGCTAACCATTACAGCCCTCTACATCGGAACAGGAAGCAGAAACAAGACATGCCTTGGCGACTGAGCCCTTTCAACCTATTCTGAAGGTGCTAGCAGACCTCGAACGCAACGATCCCAAGTCCGCCTTTCCCGCGGCTAGACTTGTCGGACTCTATCGACGCCTATGGGAATCGTGCGTGTCCAAACACATCGATGGTCAGAACCTAGAGCAGAGAAATCAGATCTTGAAGGAGGCTAGCAGACACCTGACTAAAGAGAGGGACGGACTTCAGCTGCGCCACGACAAGCAGCTGTCTCGGCTGCGCTTTTTTGAGCAGGCAATGGAATCATCTTGGGGTCGACTGAGTTGCGTACTTGATGATTGGAACCACCCGTCCAGACTCAATCTACATGTACCAGGGTTCTTGGACAACGCAAGAGAAGGGTGGAGGGTTGCATATTCATGATTGTCCTAGGTCTTACTTTTCCAACTTGGCAATAATATGACAACATTGTAATTGAGAGAGAATTACCGCATGGAAAGTAGCTTACATCTGGAATAGCATAGCCTTCGTGGAATGTTCTGCGAATAATCCCGCATGTTCTAGTATCGCTTTTATTACCCCAATATATTATAAACAAAAAACTACGGATCCAGTGACAATGTGGGCAGTGTAGCTAGCGGAGAAAGTGTCGATTAACTCGGCCGTCCCGCATTGCATCACGACAGCTACCCGAAGTAGATGTCGCCAGCTCGTCCAGACCACCAAACCTTCTCCCTGGAGACCGCTTCAACAATCTTTGTGGAGTGTTGGCGTCTTCCATTTTGCTTCGAATGGCCCTCTGGATGCAATCGTTCCTTGTTAGATCCAGGGATTTTGTCAAACTGAAGTAGTTCAGTCTGGGATTGACCACGAGTGCATCAACAATCGAGGAATGCCCGCCCTTGACCGCCAACATCAATGGATCCTCAGAACATTGATTCCTGAGGTTCACATCAATTCGATCATAGCGTAGCAGTGCCTCGACCATCTCCAAGTCACCACCACCGGCGGCAATGCAGAAGCAGTGTCGTGAGTTGCGATCGTGCTTTCATTGATGTTCAGACGTGCGCCTTGCTGCACTAAGAGTCTTACCACATCGAGATGGCCATGTGCAACGGCTCGACAAATAGGCGGATCTATTAAATCCATTCCATTAATCTCCACGCCCTCCATACTC